AGCGATAGTTGAAGGACGAGCAACGTTGTATACGAAGTATGCTGCATACCGGATAGTGATCCGATACATCATATGACATGTCAGTATTGACATTGTAGCTATCTATGCAGCCTCGCATATATTCAGGGACGCATATGTAGTCCACAGTTGACTTCCTTGTAGTCCTTGGAGTGAAAGGTAGCTTTGGGCGCTTCAGGGCAGATAGTGGATGTTGTTATTATATTCCTTTCGTTGAATAGGCGTTTGGTTAAAAGCTTTGTCCTTAGGCTATTTGGATAGAGGTTAATATCAGCGTTGAGGTCACCAGCTATTACACATGTTCCGCCACAAGAATATTTGTCAAAAGTGTTACATAGTGCATCCAAGGCGTCTCTATACTGGCTCTATAACTTACAATGCCTGTTACATGTACCTCTCACATTCATAACTTACAATGCCTGTTACATGTACCTCTCACATGTCATAACTTACAATACTTGTTACATGTACCTCTCACATGTCATAACTTAAAATGCCTGTTACATGTACCTCTCACATGCCATAACTTACAATGCCTGTTTCATGTACCTCTCACATGTCATAACTTACAATATTGTTACATGTACCTCTCACATGTCATAACTTACAATGCCTGTTACATGTACCTCTCACATGTCATAACTTACAATGCCTGTTACATGTACCTCTCACATGTCATAACTTACAATATTGTTACATGTACCTCTCACATGTTATAACTTACAATGCCTGTTACATGTTCCTCTCACATGTCATAACTTACAATAGTGTTACATGTACCTCTCACATGTCATAACTTACAATGCATGTTACATGTACCTCTCACATGTCATAACTTACAATGCCTGTTACATGTATCTCTCACATGCCATAACTTACAATATTGTTACATGTACCTCTCACATGTCATAACTTACAATGCCTGTTACATGTACCTCTCACATGTCATAACTTACAATGCCTGTTACATGTACCTCTCACATGTCATAACTTACAATAGTGTTACATGTACCTCTCACATGTTATAACTTACAATGCCTGTTACATGTTCCTCTCACATGCCATAACTTACAATATTGTTACATGTACCTCTCACATGTCATAACTTACAATGCCTGTTACATGTACCTCTCACATGTTATAACTTACAATGCCTGTTACATGTACCTCTCACATGTCATAACTTACAATGCCTGTTACATGTACCTCTCACATGTCATAACTTACAATATTGTTACATGTACCTCTCACATGTCATAACTTACAATGCCTGTTACATGTACCTCTCACATGTCATAACTTACAATGCCTGTTACATGTACCTCTCACATGTCATAACTTACAATGCATGTTACATGTACCTCTCACATGTCATAACTTACAATATTGTTACATGTACCTCTCACATGTCATAACTTACAATGCCCGTTACATGTACCTCTCACATGTTATAACTTACAATGCCTGTTACATGTACCTCTCACATGTCATAACTTACAATGCCTGTTACATGTACCTCTCACATGTCATAACTTACAATGCCTGTTAAATGTACCTCTCACATGTCATAACTTACAATGCCTGTTACATGTACCTCTCACATGCCATAACTTACAATACCTGTTCATGGTTCATACAGGTCAAGAGAAAAAAAAATCTAGTACATTTTTAATTGTTTCAATTGTCATACATTTTACCTTTGTCAACACTTTTTTAAGTTTTCAAGACGCTCATTTAGACTTTCTTTTAACTGACTTATCTCTACAGTCTTATCTTTAACACTTTTTCTAAGTGCATTTGATTGCACAACAAAGGACGTTTTCTGGGTTGCCTCTGCCTTCAAGGAAAGATCATCAGCAGTTTTTGACAAGCTTGTGATGTCTAGTTCTAGTCTTCTTCTTTTTTTTTTTTATTTCTTCAATTGCTTGTAGAGTACATTTCCTCTTCTTCTTTTCTTCTGCTGACTTTTTCTTCTCTCTTTCCACCTCTAGATATTTGTCATACCGTTGCCTAGAAAACTTTGCAGACAACAGTAGTTCTTTGTTAATGTCCACCTTTAAGATGCCTCCCACTTTTGTCACATGGTCACAAATTGCTCTGTGAGCCACAAGTGTTTGTTTCTTCATATTTTCCACCTCTATTTCTTTGTTGACACTGAACCCCCTCTCAACTGCAGCCTGTCCATGTGACAGTATCATGATAAGTTTCACAACAGAAAACAGTTTTTCGAACTGTTGTTTTCTGCCATCCTGGTACATGTAATGATGGAAGAACTGGTCAGCAGAGTCTGTGGACTTGTCAAAGTTAGAGAACTTCTCTGAGCCAAACATAGGTATACTCTCTAAGAACTGGAGGTATTGATCTAATAGGACATCAAAGTCTATCTCATCCACTCGCTTGGCATTCAGAAGAACATTCAGAACCTTCTTAAATTTCTGAATACTTTCTTCTTTTGCAGAAACCATTCTGACAGGACTAAAGCATGACAAGTACCTTACCAGAGGGTAAGATACAGGACATTTCAGAAGCATTTTCTTTAGAAGTGATATCAGAAGGTTTTTGCAATTCATCCTGAAGTCCAGTACTTGTTTTTCACTAGCTTGTTTTCCAGTATAACTTGACTTTTGCTTTAGTGCCTTCTCACTCGAAAAACCAACTTCTACTTTACTGTATGTTACATGAAAGTCCTTGTTGGTGACATCAAGTTTGGCAAGTGTCTCTTCGTTCAGCTGCTCCAGCTTCTCAGATTTTATGAATCTTCTCATGAGGGATCTTATCAACATGACAAGGTCTTCACACAAAAAAACAACCATTGGTTTGTTGCTCTGATACTGTGATAGAAATGGTTGCAGTTGTAGGGCAATCATCTTGAAGAAGGTTAGCTTTGCAACAAAGAAAGTATCTTGCACAGATTCTAGAACCGCTTGATAAGATTTGCAGGTTGGTTTTGAAACTTGTTTCCTTTCAACTGCTTTCACATAAGTCACAATCTTGTCCCACAGCAAAATGGTCCTTTCACACACTGGGACATTTTCCAACCATCTGTGGCTTACGAATTTCAAGGGCAGCATTGAAGAGCCAGTGACTTTGGTAAAGTCCTCCCTTCTTGCAGGAGAATCCTTGAACAGGTAATACAAACCAGACAGAAATGATGATATATTCCACCCTGTGACTTCAGCACCAGACTTAAATGAGTTATGCACAATATGCAAGCCGCATGATCCAATGTTTATCAAATTTGAGTTATGTTCCTGCTTCAGTTTTTCTTGCAACATCTTCAAGAATTTCCAATTCACATTTGGGCCGTCCATGCTGACTTGTACCATGTTGGGAACGTACAGTCCACTTTCCAAAACTGAATGAGTGAATGGGATATCATGTCACCTGCAGTGGCATGACCTGTAAAACAATAACATGAGTGAAATATACATTACACAATGTACACAGTATTTAAACTTTACTATTTATATATATATAAATAATTTCATATTACTGATTTAATATGTATTCTGTATTATTTTACCATGACTATCTTTTAAATAATTAATTTAATAGTACTAGTATTGTAACTATTATTTACTGCTGGTGCTTTAAGATTATTAAAATTAAATATGGTATATTTAATATTCTTGTTTAATGTTATAATTTTAATATATTACATGTATAATTGTAAATAATATTTGTTGCAGATGTTTTCACACATAATTGTTTATTTATTGTAAATTTTCATACACTTACCTAGAAACTCAGAGGTGAGATATCTTCAATCGACCTTGTTGGTGTCATTGTTCCAAAACCTAAGGTGAATGTCCATTTGCTTTTCCTGCATTTTAGAGTTCAAACTTTCGTCAAATAGAACTACATAAAGTCCTGACCCTGACACTGACTTTTTCAGTAGCTGCATAAAATGTTCTGCAATACCAAAAACACTAAGGTATGCCGATTTCTTTTCCCCACATGTGAATTGTTTAGCGATTTCACTATCAGGAAACATGGCTTGAAATAGATCACTTGCCCCTTCTGACGACTTGTATGATTGATGACCGGTCACAAGCTTTAATGTCCAAATTATTTCTGATTTAAGTACATCGTCCTTCGATAAATACTTTTTGATCATTAATGCAGGGTTTTGGGGAACGTTTGTAGCAGCTGGGGGTGGCGGAATATGAAGCAAGGCAGTGTCATTATCACTCACATCAGCGACTGACCTACTTGCAGACTGAGAATCATTCAGTGACATATTATACCGGTATTCTTTTTTCGAGTTTAAGAATGTTGAAATTGATAAGCTTGATGTACTTGAAAGTTGACCAACTCTACTCTTGTGCTTTTCACCTTTCATGTGCGATTTCAAACCGCTCTCGCCCATAGTTGAAATGTCAACCATACGATCGCATACAGTGCACAAAGCCTTCCGCTTGTCACCCTTAAACGGTTTGACCCATTTTTCATAACGTGGATTGGTCTCCCACTTCGTATTGTACACACACAAACTTCGTTTACCGCTCATATTGACCTGGTGCGATAGTCCGTGTCGTGACGTCACCTTAGTCTAAATATAGAAGCCCGCCATTTTTGTACACGTGGCAAGTCAATTCTACCGCTAGAGGGCTCCTATTTCAACTAGTTGGCCTGCTTTGATACTCTATGACTTTGCGCACAAGCGCAAGAGACAGAACCTAGTATATCGGCATTTTATTTCCGGGTTTGGAATACGATCGATATTTTCATTATTAGTGAGTGTTTTTTTAAAATAATAAAAATCAAGTACATGTGGGTGGAATTCAAGTACTTTTCAATGAAATTCCCATACTTTTCCAGCACTTTTTCGATAAAAGCAAATTTCCCGTACTTTTCCAGTACCAGTCCAAAATTCAAGTACTTTTCCAGGCCCGTGCGAACCATGCTGTTACATGTACCTCTCACATGGTATAACTTACAATACGTGTTACATTGACCTCTCACCACATGTTATAACTTACAATATCTGTTACATTGACATCACATTTGGCCTCCAGCAGGAGTTGGACAATCTCAGGCTTCCCTTGGGAAGCAACGTGGATTGGACAACAGTCATGCTGAAAAGAGAGTCAAGGAGAATACAGAGAGAGATAAAACACAGATATATTTATCTAGATCTACTCAGAGGTTAACATTCAGCCCCAAGTCTGCAAAAAATCATCATTAAAATATTCTAAATATGAATGATAAGAAATTTAAGAATTGAAGAAATTTATTTTGCTATGGGCACTTACTTTGGAAACCTAGATATATCTCTGAAACAGTCAAGGAGAATACAGAGAAAACACTAATATCTTACAGTGTAGGATCTCCAGTTTACATCAATGCCTTCCTGAATGAAGTGTCTGACGATGTGTGGTCGACCAAAACCACAGGCTTCCCAAAACTCTTCTTGCTTTGATGCAGCCTGGCCCATGATCCACTCTGTAAGGGAAAACATATAACATGATCCACTCTGCAAGAGGAATACATAACATGATCTGCTCTGCAAGAGGTAAATATAACATGATCCACTCTGCAAGAGGAATACATAACATGATCCACTCTGCAAGAGGAATATATAACAATCCACTCTGCAAGAGATATATATAACATGATCCACTCTGCAAGAGGAATATATGATCCACTCTGCAAGAGATATATATAACATGATCCACTCTGCAACAGGAATATATGATCCACTCTGCAAGAGGAATATATAATATGATCCACTCTGCAAGCGGAATATATAACATGAACCACTCTGCAAGAGGAATAATAACACAATCCACTCTGCAAGAGGATTATATGATCCACTCTGCAAGAGATATATGGGTCATTCTCAAAAAATGTCCGAATTTCAACTAAGCAAAAACATCAAAATTGTCTTTTGTAAAATTCCTTTTTTATTGACTCAGTACACAAAGTAACTTCTGAATAATAATGTTAAGCAAAATGACACCTTAATAATCAATGATGTCCTAATTATGATAATTAATTAACACTGAATAGGAAAAATATGTCTGTCCTGTTACCATGTTAACAATTATATTTTCTGTAACAATATTTTTCAAAGTTCAACACAAATCATGTCAGTTCTTGTTTTTAAATGTATTGTTTAATATTTCAATGAGTACAATTAAAAAGAGATTGGATACATTATTTTATGGACAGATTTGTCCAGCATTTGAGTCAAATGAAAACATTTGAATTCATTCAAATCCAATATGACAAACATACCCTGATTATTGCATCATATATTTGACACATATGCTTCATTAGATGATATATGTTTGAATTCAAATATGTTCTTCTGAAAAATAAAAATAAATAATCAGTATATTTCTATTTTAAGTGCTGGTAACAGGACAGACAACGTAGTAACAGGACGGACAATTGAAAGTAACAGGACGGACAATCGGCTTTGATTGCAGATAACTATAACGTTCAGGAGTTTCAAGATTTTGAAATATCTGACAAATACGAAAAAAGTATGTGCAATTGATTACACCTGAACATATAAGGTGTAATTAACTGAATATTCTTGCATGTAATCTGAACTATAGAAAACGGTCGGTAACAGGACGGACAATTGAAAGTAACAGGACGGACAAACTTATGTTTGCAGTCAACTATCCTGTTCAGAAGTTCAAAGTTTTGAACTCTGACAAATAAGAAAATGTTTTGCTTAATTAACAGTATCTGATCATATGGATATTATTAACTGAATGTTCTTCTATGTAATGTGAATGTAGGATACTGGTAGGTAACAGCACAGACGGAAGTAACGCCAAAGACAATAACTTTTGCATTTTGGGTTAATCCCTAGAATTACAAAGAATTTGAATTGATTTAAACTTACACTAAATAGTCATGTGACAGTTTTTGTCATGAAGCAACAACACAATAACCAACTTTATCCATGTCAAACATCAACATAATCTGGAGAAAAAAAACTTGTCAGAAGATTTCCTGTTGAAGCTGTATTCTTTTGCAATTGTATTCGCAAATACTCAAATAAAAGGTCTGAAAAGGTGAATTATAGTTTCCTTAAAAGTACAATTCACTTGTATCTATGTTTATTTGATTAGTGCCAGAATTAAATGGTGCCTTTCATTCACCCAGAAACCACAGGTTGTTTATTGTTTCTGTTTTATCATATCTGTAATAGCTTCCCAGTAAATGTTTTCAACACTGAAGTGGGAAGCAGTGCCTTCAATCTTCTTTCGTTCAGGAATGATGGTAATAATGTCCTCGTGCTTGTACCAGCATTTGTCCAGCAGGAGTCTTGGCCAAAAGAATCATTTTTGATCTCTTTTTTTGCCAGGCTTGTGCATGCATTCGACATATATATCATAGGTAGAAACATCTATGTATCCAGGATATGGAAAACCATCATATAACACAACCACACGTTTTCCAAGACACTCTTCTGTATCATCTGGAACGGATAGTAAAATGTCACTCTCACTTTTCTCAACCTCACCCTTCCCCACCACACCACCTGTCCTCTCCACCTTTTTCTCAACCTCACCCTTCCCCACCACACCACCTGTCCTCTCCACCTTTTTCTCAACCTCACCCTTCCCCACCACACCACCTGGTCTCTCCACCTTTTTCTCAACCTCACCCTTCTCCACCACACCACCTGTCCTCTCCACCTTTTTCTCAACCTCACCCTTCTCCACCACACCATCTGTCCTCTCCACACTTTTCACAACCTCACCCTTTTCCACCACACCACCTGTCTTCTCCACCCTTCTGTTGTTTTTTCATCAGATAACTATCTTCAACAAAGTAGTCTATTTTTTTATGTATATATGTTTTCTTCTAAACTGTGATAAATTTGAAAACATATCTCTTAATGTTTCATAAAATTAGAATATTTAGTGATTGGATAAGAAACGTTAGATAAAGATGACCAAATGTCTGTGCTGTTACTTTTAAGTCTTAACCAAATTTTTTTATTTAGCTTGGAAGATTTGTTCAGCCATAGCCTCTTGAATGCCTGTGTTATTACAAAAGAATTATTTGTGTTAATATGGTAATTATATTATTGATTGGTTATACTAGGAAAGACAGTTTAAGGTGATGATAAGTCTGTGCTGTTACCACGGAATGTCTGTGCTGTTACTTTTTCATCAGATAACTATCTTCAACAAAGTAGTCTATTTTTTATGTATATGTTTTCTTCTAAACTGTGATAAATTTGAAAACATATGTCTTAATGTTTCATAAAATTTGAATATTGAGTGATTGGACAAGAATAGTTAGATAAAGCTGACCAAATGTCTGTGCTGTTACCAATATTTGTCTCTGCTGTTACTTTTAAGTCTTGAGCAACTTGTTTTTTTTCAGCTTGGAAGATTTGTACAACTATAGCCTCTTGAATGTCTGTGTTATTTCAAAAGGAATTATTTGAGTTATTATGGTAATTATATTATTGATTGGTTAAACAAGGAAAGACAGTTTAAGATGATGATAAGTCTGTGCTGTTACCACGGAATGTCTGTCCTGTTTACATGTTTGAAGGTAACAGCACAGACAGTAACAGCATAGACAAATTGACATTAATAACAGTTTTTTTTAATGAGACCTCCCTTGAAATGTTGAGACCACATGGCATTGTGAACAGTTCATATTTTCTAATATTCTGAAAAAATGGTTTTAGAAAAAAATATTTGTTTTGGCAAAAATGAGCAGTAACAGCACAGACATAAGAAAAGAGTATTCATGATAGCACTAAACTTCCCTGTCAAGCAGAATTATCCAAAGTCTTCTCTCACTTGAAGGACACTGCTGCCATGATAGTACAGGAAGTAAGCTGTATTTCTGTTATTTTGAATTATGGGAATCTTGAAGGATTATTTATTTTTCAGTTTTGATCCATCCTGGTAACAGGACAGACACTTTTTTATGTACAAGTGTTTCTTACCAAAAACCAATATAAATAAAAGAGTGTATCTTCAAAAGATAAGTTTATATCATGAGTTAGAAAGGTAATGTACAATATATAAACATTATTTACATAATATTTTTTATTTTTAGCAACATTAAACAATGTTGATGTGCAAACATAGGGTTACGGACACACCCTTCAGCTCAATTTAACCGCAATTAAGCAGTTTTAATTAAAATAAAATACCTAATAAGAAATACTGAAACTTAACTTTCAGACACCATGGTATGTTCTACGAAAAACACTTGTGTTTAAACATATCTAAAATAAATATTTTAATTGTTATTCAACTCGGACTAAAAAACTCACTTTTTTTGAGAATGACCCATATATAACATGATCCACTCTGCAAGAGGAATATATGATCCACTCTGCAACAGGAATATATAACATGATCCACTCTGCAAGAGATATATATAACATGATCCACTCTGCAACAGGAATATATGATCCACTCTAATCCTCCAAAAGGGACTCGATCTTGGAAAATGTGAAAATAAAATAAATACCACGTGAATGTTCAGTGATTTATTCTGTATAAAACCTGCAAGGTTTACAAAGTATATCAGTTTATCATCGGCATGAACTGGGGCGAGACAGTTGTTGTGCCAACACCACCGGACCGAAACTTGTGGAGCCCTTGTACATCTGTGACTGAAATGTTGCAAAGGTAGTGAGACTTGGACTTCCAAAAGCACCCTTCCATGATGGTTGAAAGGGTGAGTTAATGTGGAGAGCCATGGTAGAAGCAACCGCAGGAGTCTCGTGAGGATTGGACATTGTAGGTGGAGGCAGCCCGTCGAAGGTATGGGCTTCACATATTGTACCCATGTCGGGAATCCAACCCGGGTCTTCAGCTTGACGAGCGAACGCTTAAACCACTAGGCTACCCGACCGCCCCCCTGTGAGGATAAATGCTATGGCAACACTCAAAGACAGATGACCGATCTCTGTCGTAGAGAGAACTGTTCGACGGGTGGTCAATTGAAGATGATTGGTGTAATATATTGAACAACAAGCATGGCGGGTTCATAGAATGGTTTACTACGTCATCCGGTGTGGTACATGCATGTTACGTCTTCAATTACGTACATGTGTAGGACATCACAGTTAACCCTTTATCTTACATCTCCCTTCCTCTGAAAGTGAAAACAAACGAAATTTAACACTTTAGTGTCCATAAACATGACGTCACTGTTGACGATAGGGTTAACCCTTTATCATACATATCCCCTCTTCAGAAAGTGAAACGAACTAAATTTTAACACTTTAAAGTCCATGAACATAGAATGTTGAACTGGTAACTGAGAACATAAACAGTTCAATCTTGATATCTCCTGGGAATGTTGACAGGTCTACCAGAACTGGTCGTTACTGGCTTTGTGTTTTCCATGGCATTTTCTTTTGGACTGTCTTGGGTTTCAGATTTTACTGTTTTAGTGTCATCTAACTCTGGAGTGATTTCTTGCTTGTCCTTCATGTTGCC